GTGTCCCATTTCTATTGGGCAATGAAATTCATATATCATATTATATAAATTAAATTATCATTCATATTTTGTATCAAAAAATAAAAATAAAAATACCAAAATTCATAATTTCTCATTCTCTACAAATAGAGACCACATTTGATATTTTTTAGAACACAATTAATTTATCATTTTTTACAATTAATTTATCTTATTGGAAGATTTTGACATAAATCTATAATTAGATGAATATGTTACATAGTAAGATGAACATGTTATAGAGTAAGATGAACATGTCATAGAATAAGATGAAAATGTTACATTTTCACAGATGAAATTTAGATGAGCATGTTCTAAAATAAGATGAATGTTTTACATAACAAAATGAACATGTTATAGAATAAGATGAACATGTTACATAATAAAATGGACATGTTATAGAATAAGATGAACATGTTACATACACAATAAGGCGAACATGTTACATAATAAAATGAACATGTTATATAATAAGATGAACATGTTACATAATAAAATGAACATGTTATAGAATAAGATGAACATGTTACATATAGAATAAGATGAACATGTTACATTATAAAATGAACATGTTATACAATAAGATGAACATGTTACATACACAATAAGGTGAACATGTTATAAAATAAGATGAATATGTATTTATTTCAAGCTGCAATCTGTAACATGTTCATCATATTTGAAAACATAATCATTTTATTACGTAACATGTTCATTATATGTCAGTATAATAAAATAATTACGAAAAAATAAAAAATTAGTTGTGTTCAAAAACCTATTAAATGTGGTCTCTATTTATAGGTAATGAAAAATTATGAATTTTGGTATTTTTATTTTATTTTTTTAATATAAATAATTAATGATATTTTAATTTATGTAATATGTCTCATTTTTCAATTAAAAAAAGAAAAATAGGAATGTGCACTACACTCTCCAAATTTTCTTGTTTTTGGAGTGAGGGAGGCGCGTGCAAAACTGCCATGGCACACCTAGCTAGAAGTGTCAGGGCACACGGTAGTGCTACTGATTTTCCCTTTCCAAGTGGGGCAGGTTGTCGTGACCCACTACTTTTCGATCCTCAAAGCAATGGAACTTGGTTGTAAGCTGATCACAGTAAGCCCTCAGGAGGACATGTCGGCAAAAATCGTGTAATTCAAGGACATAAACGAAAAGCAATGGGTCGTCTGCGTGATTGGATGACAGTGTTGTGTTGTGCTATGCCCTAAGGGCTGTGGTCCTATGGTTTTAGCCCTTGATCTACAAACATATACAAACATACTCCCTCCTATTCTTTTTATTAATCAAATAAATGACGCATTAGATCTTTTATACATATTTTTTCATTGTTGACCGCATGTAGTTAATACAGTAGACGTTTTGAGAGGAAAGTTGTTAAAATACAATGAGTTCTATCTCTTAAAAGAACGTAAAAATGCTGAAAAGAAAGAAATTAACTAATGTTAATTTGCTTTAAATAAGAGTAATATTGACAAGAAAAAATTCTTAATTTTTGTGTCAAAACACAAAGAGAAATTTACACCTTCTACCATTCCTTTTAAAGTTATTTTTATAAATACGAAAGTCAAAACTTTTCTTTGTAACTACGAATTTTAGTTTCATTAAATATATAATTGGCGGTTTCAAATTATTCATTATAGTTATCTCCAAGA